CCGCTCCCCCTTCAACCCCGTCATCGTCCTCCGCGGCGCCGCCGAGGAGAGCCGCGGCTTCGAACTCTTCTACGACGACGGCGCCGGCTCCGGCCTCCGACCCTTGCCGCCGAGCATGTCGGAGTTTCTTCTCGGATCTGGCTTCGATAGGCTTCTGGAGCAACTTTCTCAGATCGAGATCAACGGAATTGGGAGATACGAGCACCCCCCGGCGTCAAAATCGGCCATTGATTCGTTACCAACGCTGGAAATCAATGATGGTCATTTGTCTTCGGAGTCGCACTGCGCGGTTTGCAAGGAAGCTTTCGAGTTAGGCACTGCGGTGAGGGAAATGCCGTGTAAGCATATATACCACCCTGAATGCATATTACCGTGGCTCGCACTTCACAACTCATGCCCCGTTTGTCGGCACGAGTTACCTGTGGATTCTCCAAATTCAAATTTGAATCAGGGTCAAAATGTTGGCTTTAGCGAGGAAGAGAACGTGGGGTTGACGATTTGGAGGTTGCCCGGTGGAGGGTTTGCCGTGGGGAGATTCTCCGGCGGTAGGAGAGGCGGCGAGAGGGAGCTTCCGGTGGTGTACACTGAGATGGACGGTGGATTCAACAATGGGGGTGAGCCGAGGAGGATTTCGTGGTCTTCGAGGGGGAGTAGAGGGAGAGAGAGTGGAGGGTTGAACCGGTTTTTCAGGAATTTGTTTGGTTGCTTCAGAGGTGGTGGTGGTGGTGGTGGTGGTTCTAGTACAGAGTCCATGAGGGCGAGTTCTTCTCGGTCTAGTATGGTTCCCTCTCCGCGTTCGCGCAGGACTTGGTCTATGGATGTAAACAGTGGGATGAGAGCGTGGTAGTAGTTGTAATGGGAAAAATTATAAATGTCAACTTTGTGTCTGGGTTCCCCCCATGTCAAAGTGTACATAATGGGATTGGTTGATTGATTCAGGGTCCAGGATGTAATGAAATGCAATGCAATGATGGGGTTTTGTGATTGTGTTGGGATGGGGAACCGTTGTGTTAGCGATAGCGGGTAGGGAGGGAAAAATGTGAAACCAATCGAGAGGAACGAGATTGAAGGATTTGTGTATCTTTGGAATTTTTGGGGGTGGCTGGGGAGGTATGATATGAATTACGATGATCATCATGAACTTCATTTTTACTTTGATAATGAACTGAAGCACCTTCGTATTGTTTTTCATTCTGTGCTTTTTTTATTGGTTGGTACTTTGATATGCTTCAGTTTATGATCCTTCAAATTCGTGTTGTTTCTTTTTTTGTCGTAGGTTACATTTTAGCATTCTGCTGCTGCCGCCTTGAATTGTTGATTGTGTTGATGTTGCTTTACATTTGTATAATTTTCCTGTCTAGCAAAACTATCATTCTTTGATTCTAGACAAGCATTTGTGTGGATTTGTTTGCGTTTGTCTCCTGCTTTAGTTCTTGTTTTGTTGATCAGGTACCAGTTTTTAACTTCTTATGGACCAATAACTCTCGATACTATACTGTTATTGTAGTTCAGTATAATATTAGGACACATTCTTCAGTACTTTCAAACTCTGATGGTTGAAGCCTTCAACTTTGTGATTCATATTTGTTTACTGTGTCTCGTTCTGTTTACCTGTTTTAAATTAAATCTACTTGTCTTTGTAAATTGTTATTATGTTGAGTGACTAATAACGTGTCTTCACCTTCATATATTCACGACGACGTGTTAACATGAATAACAAAATCCGTCAATCTATAAAAGTATTTCGTACAAATTTACATGGGCATGTTAATATTGTGCTTGGTGGCTTTGAGGCCGGCCAGAGACCAACAAAATCTTCATTTTAGGCTCCCTTCATAAAAAAAATTATTTTGTATTAATATTTGTATAATTTTGTTTAGATTTCATAATTTAAAAGTTGCTTTTTACATTTTTAAAAATCAATTTAAAAAAATTATTTCTAAAAGTTTTAACATAGTTCAAAGTTTGAAGAAGGAAACTCAAAGCTCATAATCTAGCCAACTGAAATAAATTTCTTCAATAAAAGTAGCTATTGAGTATTGAATTAACATTAAGAATAAAAAGGACAAAAATATTTCTATGTATTTAGCCACAACTTGAAATTTGATATTTATATATCTTTTAAAATAATTATTTTTTTTAAGTTTATATTTATTTCAAGTAATTAGTCATCTTAAAAAATGAAGAAAAAAATATAATTTATAAACATTTTTTATTAAGAAAATGGAATAATTAAAACGAACTTATATTATAATTTTGTTGATTCCATATTATAAAAATATATATATTTGATGAGAGAGTGCTAAAGGTTTTTGAAGACAAAGAGCAAGAGAAGTTTTAACAAAATAATGAGAATAAAAAATAAAAATTAGGAACTTGTAAGTTTAAACATTACATAAAATGATAAAATAATGTTTCAAAAATATTACAAGCTATTGAAACTTTGTTTATCTTGAAATAGTAACCTCACTAAATATCAAAATAACTATTTTTTTATCAAACTTTTTTTTAAATAGTCAAATATAAAAAAAAAAAAAAAAACTAACTTATTTAATATAACCAACAAGTTGTAACATGACAAATAATCTTTCTTTCAATTATATGGTCAAAATTCGCTCACAAGTTTATAAGTATGAAAACCATTTGTTAAAAATAATTTTTTAAAATAAATTTCAGTATTTTAATAGACTAATCTTTAATTTTTGGCCGAGTACAGCTTGAGGCTCATATTTTCTTTCTTTAGCAGTTCCTAGAAGCCTTTGACACGTGCAAACCTGTGACGGTTGTAAGCAAACTATAAATAAAGAAATTGCTCAATGGATGGAAGTGAAAGCCATTGTTAAAGTGAGGGTGCTTGTTTTTGGCAAAGTATGAGTCCCTGAGTGAGTGAGTGGTACACGTTTGGACAACACTATTATTGGCGAAGATGGTTTCCGTTCAGGTGGGGACTGCCCAAACGCATAGCATGTAACTTGGAACCACAAGTGCAGCTCGTTGAGGCTAACTAAGAAATCCAAATAATTGCACGTGCCCTGTTGCCTGGATACTTAATTTAATTTTTCCCCACACGCCATTCAAGTGCCAATAATAATTTCTACACATGCTTTTTACCTGTATTCAAGGAAATTTGGAAATTGGGGAGGGATCATATCCCATGCCACCATTAAGGTAATGTTGATGCCATTGCTTGGGATCATTTCATGGAGAGAACATAAATATACTAGATGCTTTAAGCCTTAATCAAGGAAGACCATGTATAATTTTTTATATATATATATTCATGGCAGTGGTGTGAAATATTTATTGATTTTATTGATGATTAATATTTATTGGAAAATCTAACTAATAATCTTTAGCAAAGTTTCCATCCTCAATCAATTTTATTTCATCTACTAGATTTAAATATGAGACCTTGTTACTTAATTGAATTTAATTATATTGTACTCAATATCCCATATTAATTACTAATATAACCAAAATAGAATATAAAATTAAGATATAATCATTATCTTACAAATTAATTTTATAAGATCGAATTATACTTATAATAAAATAATAATAAAATAATTTTTTAAGATGATATCATGATTTATTTTAGTAAATGTTAGTAAATTTATTAAGTTATCCACTATTAAGTCATTATTAAATTACTTGTATATGTTTAATTTTGTAAATTTTACGCTTAAATATTCAATCTTCTATATAAAAACAAGTTAGAAATCTCTTGTTAATGAACTTTTTACTTGAGATAAGAGTGTATTGAAGAATATCTTATGGACTAATTACTCATTGTTATTTGCTTTAATTTAAAATATTAGATTGACGAAGGATCCAAATCTGTGAGTATGGAATCCTCGTTTCCCTAGTTATAAGCCGAGTGATGAGCATCAAAATCATGCAAAAGGGTCACCAATTATATATGGGTAATGGCTTGTGTGTGAGCTGTAATCTAATACTACTACTATGAGATTGTTATATTAAAGCAAGTTGCCATGTTTCATTTTAAGGGGAGAAAAATCTTGCCACGTTTAATGTAAGAACGCTATATATGGTCCAAAAATTTAAGTGAGGTTGTCGATTTTAAGTTTGGTACACATGACAAGTTCCACCAAAATTAACAACGTATATGTTCTGTCCCCTTCTTAAGGTGGTGGCTGTCACTCATTCAAAAGCTACTTGAATGTCCAAAACATGGGTGTTGATACTCGGGTTTTTTGTTAGTTATTATCATGCTCAAATTTTCAACAACATTACCCATTTTTATTGTTTTAACGACAAAACGTTCCACGTTAATTTTGTTCTTGCACGATTTTATGGGGAGTTGATAACACAATACCGTTAATACGTGAGAGCTTGACGTCTTATTTAGAGTTGTATTTTTCCAACTTTGCCTGGGATTTTTCTTTGTCTGCTTAGATGAAGTGGGATGTTAACATAGACAAGATTTAAGGGAGGTATGGATGAATCTTGGCCTTCAATTTTTTTTTCCCAATTATATGTACTAATTGTTTTTTTTATAAATATTATATAATCATATAATTTATCAATACACTTATATATGTTAAAGTTTGTTGATTTATTTTTTATATTTTTCCTTGTATGTTTCTTTCATCGGGCTTGCTGGTCAATCCACAACTTGGTTGATAGGGATAGACACTTTGTGCCAATACTCAAGTATTTTAGTTGGTGGGACAGATTGTTATAGTTTAGAAGAAGGCTCCATAGAGTGAGGCACAAGCTTATATGCTTATATAACTAGAAACGGAATGAAGGCATTGATGCTATATTGATTTTGGTCACCAAGATTTAGATTATCTTTTTAGATAGTCTCAATTCGATCTAATATCATGTATTTAATAAATTTTAAATAATTATATGTTAATAACATTTAATAAATATGATTTGTTTAACATGGTATTATATTTATCTTAATATATATCATTTATATTAAAATATATATTACAAATTTCCTGATCTTTCTTACTAAAGGTTTCACATTTGATCTTCTTTCCAATCTTCGCTTCTTTTGAGTAGTTTGTAATGGGGGAGGAGTACCTACAAAAAAATTCTTATGATCAAGTTAGTCTAAGTTGTCCCATTTGTCATATCTTATTAATATACAAACCTTGGTATTTGGTAACCATTCAACTACTTCATTAGTTCAAGTAACTATTCTCATATAGTTATTTTTCTTTGTATTGTAACTTCTTTCATTATGCTCGTGTTGACCTGTTTAGGTCTACATGATTTTGATCTTGCTAGCTTTATTGAGGTTGGACAAGTCGATCTCCCAAAGTTGGATTAGTTGAGCTTATTCATCCAAGTTAGTACATAAGCCCCTAAGTCCCGAGTTTATGTAAGAACAAAGGGACTTAAGATTACCATATGTGGGGTTTCCCATGTGCTAGTTTAGTGACATGTTAATAAACAAATACAAGAAAATAATATTGACAATCCAAACCTATATGGTTTACCAACATTGATGATATGATTTTGTCAAAGAACAAGGAGGATTATACAAAGAGTTTAAAAAAATTACCTTGTCCTTTGAACTGCAAAGCTATAATGGAACTTATCCTCGAATAATCTCTTTGATGATTTAGAGAGTGAGTGTTATATGCTTGTATAATTGTTCTATACTATGTAACATGAATCTAACTTATAAATTAGACTGATATGATTTTTATTTGTAGTGATCATGGGAAAAAATGATTGGCATCACTTCAAGAGTAATTAGTTTCAAGTTGGATCAAAGTACAACTCAATTGACCAACCTAATCAAGATGTCCAAGTTGAAAATATCTTTCCTCCACCTACAATCCAACGTGTATAATGAAAGAAAGTTTGTTGTTGACATTTCAAAATAAGTTGGAAAAGAGGTTGAAGTTACTCCTAATGAGAATCATGTTGGCAATGAGATTGGCTATATTCAATTGTAAGAGAAAAAGAATGAAACAAGCAAAGTTGTAGAACAAAGCTTGGAAGGTACTTCTGATAAGGCAGCTTATGCCTAGAAATTCTATTATTAATCAACAAGATAGTTTAGTGATCAGTTTTGAGATGGCTAGTGAAATTGGTGCTTCTAACGTCAAGCTTCCCATAAATAATATAATTGAAGTTACAGGAAAAAAACAAGTGCCTCCTAGGGGTTCCAACTTCTACTAATTTTGTTGTTGGAAAATTATTAGGCTTTTGGCTATATTGGATCGTGTAACCATGGTTCCTCATGTTAAATCTTTATGGAATCTTAAGCTTACTATCGAGGAATTTCGTAAGGAAGATCAAAACATATTATACAATAGGGTGATGATGCAAAATGTCGATCCCATTGGTAGCATGGATTTTATTCAATACAATGTTCTATTGTTGTAGTTGATCAAGTTGTAAAATTTCAAGCTTAGCTCATTAGATTGGAATAAACCTTAACTCAACTCTTTAATCAAAAGGTGCCAAATTTGGCATTTTTTTTATAACGCTTTGAACTTAGCTTAATAGATTGGAATAAGTTCGAACTCAACCTTTTAATCAAAAGGTGTCAAACTTAGCTCTTTTTCTTTACTAGGCTTTGGACTTAGCCTA